CACCTTCTAGGGTATACAGAATGCCACGTGTGTCCTGGTTGCAAGCCACCTTCTGGGGTATACAGAATGCCACGTGTGTCCTGGTTGCAAGCCACCTTCTGGGGTACACAGAATGCCACGCGTGTCCTGGTTGCAAGCCACCTTTCGTGGTATACAGAGTGCCACTGGCTTTCTTTGCAGCTTGCAGATCTCTCAACTTACACTCAAGATTGAAAGGAGATGACGTGATCGTGAATACGGCAGCTCAAGAGTTTCATATTAACTAATGTTTAGGATCCTAAGGCAGATGATAATATCTTTTCATGTTAGTTCCTATTTCTAAGATTCCTTTGGGGGGGTAAAGAGAAAGCCAACTGCTCTCAAATTTGACTTGGTAGTAAATTCAATAAATACCCTTCCAAATCATTTTACGCTGTACATCCAGTCAGGGTTTTAGATGTAGTATAACCTTTTAGAGACTTGGGTCCTTACCTAAAGCTGCACTTAGCTTCAGACTGCTTATAGCTCAATCATGTTTAATAGGCCCAAGGTCCATTAAATATAATTGTAACCATACAGCCTGTGCTTAACAGTAAGTGGAAAAGAATGGGTGCCACAAACCTTAATATGCATGGAGCCTGCACGGTGCCTGGTCTAGACTGGCTTTTTACTGGAAGACGATGTCCAGCTCTGGGCTCAAAATGCAGAGATTGAGGAGAATTTGGAAAGAGTTCACTAAAGCCTTCAGTGGTTCTGGGAAATGGATTTTGGATGTAGAAAATAACAATAAAGAATTGTTTTATATATTTAAATAGGTGAAAGCAACTTGCATTGAAAAGAATAAGTGAAGATTTATTGTCAGTTAGAGAAATTACATCCAACTTTGGCATAAGAAGCTACTTTTTTAACCTCTAAAATTATTAGACTTGAATCTGAAATCCAGATATAATTGTGTAGTTTTCTCTGAGGTGCATAAAGTGGAGCCCGTCTCGGGGAGCTGAGATGATTTATGTCCTTCTGGAATGAGAGGTGAGGATAGAAGCATTTTCTCGGTTTCTCTTTTCCTGACTCTCAAATTCTAATTTTGTGTATTAATCAGTTTTCTGTTGCTGTGAGTAGAGATTCATTTTCATCCAGAGCTTTAACATGATTTTGAGTTTCTGTTAGGGTAAGACATCATAGTAAGGACTTGCCATTGCCTCTTACCCCTGCTTTTTGCCAGGAGACCCTACTTTCAAAAGATTCCACCATAACTCAGCAATGCCACAGGCTAATGGTCAAGATTTAAGTATGTTAGGACATTAGGGAAATTTAACATCCAAATCATAACATTCCCATAGCCAAAAATTTAAACAGTTTTATGTCTGTTTAAAGACATGAAATGTTCAAGAAAAATCCACATATGGGATGGAATAAATTTAAAAAGGCAGCTGTCAATTATTGCCGCATTAAGATACTTTATGTGTGGATCAAGATAGAGCTCTAAGGACCCGACCAGTTGACTGCAGATTACAGAAGAGTAAAAGCTAACTGCATTTGCTGTAAGAACAGATGGTGAGACCCTAAGATACAACTTCAGAGAGACTGGTGAGCTCAAACAGGAGAGGAACAGAAACTACAGAGAGAGAAGCAGTTTCTTCCGAAGTTATTCAAGCTTCTGGCCCGAGACGGCAGGGAAAAGGAGACATTCGTCCTTGATGATTCCCTAAGCCCAGATCTTATGCTTTTGGTATCTTGTTACTACCTCCTGACTGCTCACAGTTCTTTCTGGATGCAAGCACTTTGGATTCTTCCTTTTCTACAATAAAGACACTTTTACTATGAGCCTGTCTCATTCCTGTGATTTTGAGTTATTTGCTGATCAATGTTAAAGGGTAATATAGCCTTAAGAGCTGTGTGCCTATTTCATAGAGTTTCTGCTAGGGGCAATTCTAGCTTATTTGTTAGGGAAGAACTGAAGATATAGTGTGCTGCCCTGGCAGTTGACCAACTGGGTGTCTGTCTTCTCTGTGTAGCTAGAACGTCACATGCAGAGCAGGGAGCAAAGGAAACAACTGGTCCAACGCCCAGATAAAGTATCATATGCTCTACTCTCCGGTTCTGATGAAGGTCGGTGCAAAGAATAAGTATGTATGCGGAAATCTAAAATTAAGCTATTCTTTTAAATACTCTTTCATAATTTAGTAATTGTGTTAATACCTAAAATGTGAAATAACAATACCAACAGAAAACTTTGTCTTTTCTTTAATCCTGGTTGCAAGTCAATAATGTCACACTGTTAAAAGTTTTGTTCTGGTCTTAGAGACAACTTTTTCTTACTATAACTGAGGTTGGCCAGGGACACCTTACGTAGCTCAAGACAGCAGTGACTTGAGGCAATCCTATCCAGTTTCCTAAGTGCTAGGATTTCCACACCCAGATAAAACAACTATAAATAATTAAGAATTAACTTTCTTTGTTTTATTTATTTATCATAAAGAAACATTTTCAAGGGATTTGAATCTTAAGTAGTATTAATGGTATATGATTCTACAACTCTCCAATGGGCTGCTTCAGCAAATTGAGAATGGTTTAGTCTTTCCCCCGACTGCCAGTATTTAAAGTTGCACCAGAAGAAGCTGCTGCTTTGCAAAGGTAGAAGCTCTTAGGAAATACTTTGCCAGTAGCCAGATGTGTGTAACGAAGAATTGTTGAATAAGACAGAAATTCTCAGGGAAGATGTGAGCATTAAACTTGTGTGCTTGTTGTAATGAATCTTAAGTATGGCATACAAACTATGAGTTCTAGAATACATCAGTTAACAGTGATCCTTACTTAATATTTGTTTTGCAGTTTTTAATGTACATCCATGTTAAGTCATCTGGTCATTAAAAAAGCTCATGAAGTGTAAGAAATGGGCATTATCATATGTGTCTGATCCACGACAAAATAAAGCTTGGAGATGTCCTTACCCAGCATTATAGAGCTAATGAAGACCAGAAGTCAAGTTCGGTTGCATTTCATCATCTGTCTGGGGAATCTGACTTCAAGTTCTTTCCTCAGTACATACAGATATTGGATTATATCATTTCTACTAGGAAACGTCTTAGATCTATGGCTTTTTCTGCAGAATCCATCACCCACTCTAAACATGGTTCACATGCACATTGATGCCAGTACTACACACAGCCAGGCTTTCCACAAGGAAGGATGAAGATACAGGTAGATAATGTCTCCAAGATGACACAGCTCCGTGTTAGAATCTGTTCACAGCTAGTTTCTCTCCATTGGTACTCACAACCACAAAGAGGGCAAGGCCAACAAGGGAGATAGGGAATTGCTGGTTGTCTCCTAAGAACAAGCTTACTAGGTCAAAACAAAGTCCTCCCCTGAGATAACAAATATGGTTTTTCATCTGCTGAAGTAAGCACTCCAGACTAAGTCGCATAAATGCTGGGCTTGCCCTGTTGTAGGACCTGAAAGAGTCTGTTCTGTGCAATGGGAAACCAATGCTCACGGCAAGTGTCAGGCTATAGGGAAGGCGTGAGCTCTGGGGTCAGAACTGCCTGAGTTTGTCTTTGCAGCTGGCCATTTCTAGTGGACTAATGTTACAAAAGCCACTTCACCTCTCTCACATCTCCTATTATGTAAAATGGTTCCTAGTTAGCGTTCAAGACTTATCAGTTGCTGTGTCCAGTTTTAAATGAGAGCTACAAAGGCCAGTAGCATGACCTTACTATGTAGAGATGGTTAGAACAGCTAAAGAACTCCGATAGCTAATATCTAGTAGTTCGAAGAATACCTACGAGCCAAGCTGGTCATTATTCTATCAGGAGGCAAATCCCAGGGTATTATGGAAATGTTTGCCATTATGAGCAAGGTATGGATTGAAAATTGCTGTAACATCACTTAAACATTGAAAAGATGTAGTCATCGAATTTACAAACGTGTTTATTTGTAAGCTATAAACATGCCCATACACATCATTTGAACCTCTTATTCACCTACATGTAAGTTAGCACTCATTAACTGAGGTGATATATCTGATAATGATTTTAAGATGCCGTGCATTCAGTGGTTAATGACCGAATTATAACGCTTTGTTCTCAGCGGAAACAACTTATTTCTATTGAGCTGCTAATTTCCCTGTCTGTAGGCACAATAATAAATATCCTATGAGAATTTTTCTTTGCTTTTGTGTGTTTCTCTAATTAGGAAGATTCCAGAAAAGTCAAGGACTATTTCATTGTGCCATTCCTAGAGCAAATCATTCAGGACTCATAAACAGACATACTGTGTTTCCATTATTCAAACTTTTAGGCCTCCTTTGTTTACAGCAACAACCAAACAAACGAATGAGCGAACAACAACAACAACAACAATGTGATCTGCTGGGTTACGTATTAATGACCTCTCCCGGTCTGCTTGTATTTCCAGGGGCTGCCAGTAAATGAAGGGGAAAGTCACTCCACGCAGGAAGTGAACTTCTGTTCGTGTATCGCAGATCATGGCTCTTTATCGAAACCAATAATGCAGTTTTACTTTTTACAGGAAATGGAAACTAAAACCTCGACAAATGGCTGCAAGCATCCAGAATGGCTCTCAAATGGGCAGTGCTGAAAACTGATCCGGTTGCTTGTCAATTGCAGCATTCAGAGATGACGTCAGCAGCGAGGCTGCAGTCAATGCTGGCATGTCACCCTTCCCGTACCACAAGTAAAATCACACTCTGCAAAAATATAATCATTTCCAAGGCTTGAACCTTGAAACCTAATTAAGCAACATTTTATCAGCTTCATTAATAAGACCTGGACCAGGTTCCATATAAACTCGCAGCAACCAATGCTGATAAAACATGTTGTTACCAGTGTATCATTCTGGAAGAAAGGTAGGCTGATGATGTTTATTTCTGATTTTGTTTATGATCCCTTTTATCTAACTGCAACCCTAAACTGGAGCTTATCACCAGGGCCATGCCCTTTGGTCCTCCTTAGACAGTCCTGTTCCATCTCATCAATAGTAAAGACATCATGCCTGCTTACCTGGGGGATTATGTTCATTGAGTATCACAAGGGATGCTGGTGTGGGTCTTCTTTTCCTGATCTGTAAACAACAAAGACACAGCTGATGTCAGTGTGAGAATCAGACACTTCTCTTCATTGATTCTACAGCTTGCAAGCCTGCCTGCCCTCCTCTTTCCCCAGCACACATGAAGAAACTTCTAGAAAGAACATAGCATATAATCACTATATATTTCAGAGCACAGAAAGCAAGTTAGAACTGCCAGATATTACTGATATCTTTTTTGACCAAAAAGTTACATTTTCAAAGGAAATAATAATAATAATAGTTGTATATCATCAAACTATGCAGCTGAGATTAATATACTGTAAAGTCCAGAAATGACTTACGATTTAAGTGACTAGTAAAGCCACCGTGACAAGGGCAATGACATCATCATCCCTTGCTCTTATCGAAATGAGGCAAAAGAAACTCAGAAGCCTCAAATTTCTCTTACGGGCTGTAATTAAATTGACAATGTAAGTTTTAGATTTCAATTTGTCTGATTAACTTTCTACTTTCTAACTTAATATTTAGATCAAATTGGCAGGTCAACCAAAAATAAGGATCTCATAAGAATGCGTGTTTTAATTCCTTTAGGCAGTGCTAACTGGAATCAGTGGGTTAGAAAGAATAAAAGGGAGAGAATACGAAAGTGAGAGGGCGTGCAATCGGTGTTAAAGAAACAGGAGGGGAGAGCTGAGGTAGATATGGCTAGGATATATCATATATTGTGTACTATTGTAGATAAATAAGTAAAGGTACTAAAAAAAAGTGTAGAAGAAGAAAAGAGAATATATATACTCAACTAAAACTAAGACCGGGCAGATTTGCCCCCTTGTGATAGGAATCATAGGAACATAGTATGACTAGACTCTCTTGCTTCAGATAGTCTTTATTCATGCAGTATGAGCTCATTGTTAAACTCCCAGAATACTTGTCAGTAGGATAAAGGATAAAGTATACAAATGGTGTTGTTCAAGATGGAAGCCATGTTCAGTTCAGTAAACAGATCTGCCAGGTTATGTGTATCTGGTCTGAATCTGGGTGGGTCTATTGTGGAAGCATCATATAAAGTAAGACTCCAGAGGCAGTACGTATTGTAGGACTTTGTACCAACTATTTGGGAGAGGATTCAGGGGTCCTCTGGGTTCTAAGTGACTAATGAATTAGATTGGCGTTCCCATTATTTTCTTTGCCACAGAATATCTTTTAAGTGGGTCCATTGCACCCAGAGTCTAAGTAAACATGAACATGGTACAGTTAGAAACCAATGTCAGACATAAAAAAGGAACCTAGGAAAAAGTAATAGAGCATTTTTCATATCCATGGCTCATATACAACACACAACTATGACTGGGGATACACAATAAAAACTCATAAAATGCAGCCTGCAATATTAAATTAGTCTAGGATTTATTACTTTAATTTCTACATTTCTTCTTATTTTCTAAGTAACAAAATAAAAGAGTGCTAATTTTTGGTAATGTTTTCAAAGTTTCTCTAAATGTTGAAACTGTTACTTTAAGAAGAAAAGCCAGCACATATTGCTTCAGACCAGAATGTCTAACACATGGATGTTTATTTTATATAGAATGAAGTGATGCTAAAATCTTAGCCAGACATTCCCCAGTACAACCCAAACACAAGTACAAGAGCAGACCCACTTCCTCTCTCTGAAAGTCACAAAATTAGGCAAATGCAGAAAGCAGAGACCCTTTCACCTAGTAAGAATGCTTGCCCTTCCTGCCCATCACCCTGGAACCATTCCCGTTCCACTCCCCCTTACCTGTTCTGCTGCCTCTGGAGCAATCTGACTCTGGAATAAAGGCACAGCAAACTGTATCTTTTTGGGGCTGTTGGGCTCCATGTTAGCGATGAGAATAAGACAGGGTGGTGAAGCACTCACAAAGACAAAACCCAAGTGGGATCCGGAGTGTTCCTGGGGCACGCTTCACCTAGCCACACACACAGTGCTTGGTAATAAATCTCTGTAATTCCAGCCTGCGCAAGTGAAGATGTCGAGATTTGAGCAACTCCCTTCTTCAATATCCAGTGATGCCTGGCTTGCCTGATCCCCCACCAATCTTCTGAATCCTCTCAACACAATTGGGAAAGGAAGAATAAGCTAATTGTGTCCCTGCTCACTAATACACATGCCAAGCTTTCACTCAGCGGCTAATTGAAATTGCAGTGCCAGCCTTGAAGGACCCGCTGCCCTGGGATTTAAAAGAAAGGCTCTATCCACTGTACATTACTAACCGGCCGCTCAAAAGTGCAGCCTAAGCTCCCTTGAGCATTACAGGGATGGGTCATTCATTATTGATTAACATAAAGCAGGAAGTTTTTAGAGCAGGGGGGTGGGGCAGGGCCTGCTTATAGAATCATGTCATTTCTTTGTAGCAACTTACAAGTCAGACACCTCTGCTACTTCACACTCGACCACCACATCGATGAACGGCTATCAACAGTAAACCACAGCCAGTAAAATCAGCTGTATTTGTGCTTCAAGATCTGGTTTGGCTAGCCCTGCCGCAGGGCTGAGCAGATCTTAGCTCAAGTTCCACTGTTAATAAGCATTGTGGCCTGAAGGAGATCACAGCATATGTCTAGGCCCCCACACTTTCAGTGGGAAAATGGGGGGTGGTTAGATTAGATGACCTTTATGGTCCCATTCTGTTCTAACATACCGTAATTAGAGTTCATGGTTTTAAAATGAGTAGAAAGCACTGGGCAGCTAAATTTAGCAAACAGCTTGGAAGTCATTGCTATTTCAGTGGCCTTTATTTTATTTCTGAAGGAGTCAGTTACATCCTCTTTCTTGGAAGAATCCAGGAATGAGTGGAAAACACTAGTGAAAAGCCAGTAATGTCTGACACTATGGCTTGTTGTCAATTATGGGACTGGATGCAAAGATGAAGATTTGAGGATCATCTTCAGAAAGATGATGAGTCAGGTGACTAGGATCACAGAAGACACTGACCTGGTCATCTCAGTAATTCAGTAATATCAACAGTAGGCAACCATAATTCAGCTTCACAGAATTCACTCTTTTCTGTTTGTTTTATTTTTTTGCTCTATTTTGCTTTTATTGCTGTTGTTTGTTTTTCGAGACAGGGTTTTTCTGTGAAAACAGTGGTTGACCTGGAACTCACTATGTAGACCAGACTGACCTCGACCTCACAGAGATCCGCCTGCCTCTGCCTCCTGAGTGCTGGGATTAAAGGCGTGCGCCACCACCACCCAGCCAGCCACTGCTTATTGAAGGAAGCCTGGAAATGAGCCTACCGCGATGGAAAAAGGAACTTCGGTTCTTTACTTTTCTGTTTGAAAGGTGTGATTTGGTGACTACTTCCTTTAAGAATGTAGCTTTTAGATTCATCAAATGCATTTTGATACTGTATAAAATTGTAGGTATTTAAAAATGAAGTTCCCTTTATTTTGAAGGTCTGTTTTCTAAAACAGAAACACACATCAATGATTTAATCATACAGCTGTTCTGTAAAGTGTATAAAAAGTAATATACATTATTCAAGTCATTCCCTATATGCGCTAGAGGAAAAGCAAATGGAGATACTGATGGGAAAGTAATTTTAAAGGGGAAAAATGCTGACAGCAAGAAATCTTGTAAAGGACTCATCTCTCAGAGGAGAAAGGAAACTCACCATTCAAAATAGCCTATGGCAGAAGTTACAGAAGACCTGAGAAGGAAACCTTTGTAGATCAATACCGTTCCTGAAGTCACCTCTCTGGATATCACTTTAGAGCCTGTGGGAAAGCAGACAGCCTTTTTAGTGAGGAATGAGTCCAGAACTTGCTGGGTAATCATCGAGAACTTGTACTTGGCAGCCCCAAACCTGCACCCTCGCTCTGCTTTACCAAGATGAACAATGCAGCCCACGAGAGAACGTTTTTTCTGTGAAGTTCAGTTGATCTCAGCCCTAAGAGGAGCTGCTCATAGCAGCAGGCTCTAGCCACTCTGTGGCAGATAGCAACTACATGCTTATTAGACTGTTCAAAGTGCTCAATGATACATGTTTTTAGCATGACGTATTAATAGTCTCTTTCTATTGGAAAATTTAATGCCAATAAGAGGAACAGTTGATAAAGGCAAATTCTATGTGTGTACTATAGGAAGAAGATCAGAAAGTGTGCATGAATGTTCATATGTATATGGGCAGACAGTGTGTGTGTGTGTGTACAAATGTGTGTGCATATGTGCGCATATGCATATGGGATGCAGGATAGCACTGGGTGTCTTCCTAAACCACGATCCACTTTACATGTTGAGACAGTCTCCCACATGAGCCTGAACCGGTATGCTCCAGCTAGTCTAACTAGCCAGCCTGTTCCAAGGATTCCCGTCTTTGCATTCCACAGTCTGAGAGCACAGGCCCACACCACGCCCACAAAGACACATGGGAGTTAGAGATCTGAACTCTTGTCCTCGGGATCGCTCAGCAAGCCCTTTATCTTGAGGAGCCATCTCCTCGGGTTTAATGCCCCCTTTTAGTTAATAGTTTGACCGGAGATAGTACCTACAGAATCTTCCTGAACCCTTCATGAGTTTTCTTCATCAGTGCAACCAGCTTCTGGGTGCTTGTCAGGGTTCGGTGGTATGGCCTTGCTTTTAGGAAAATGATATAGATTTGTTTCTACCCAAACAGAGGTTGTTGGGGCACAGGAAAGGGAGTCCAACAATCTCTGCTGCCAACAGAGAGCACAGTATACCTCCACTTAGCACAATAGCAACCTGTCTCTCTCTCTTAATTATTTAACATCTTGAAAACCTCTTCACACAGCAATTCAACACACTTATGGCCAGGCTTTTTGCTATGGTCTTACAGGAGAAGCTGTGCTAAAAGTCTCATCTGAAATCCTTTTAAAACTAAACTGTTAGTCCTGGAGACATGCCTAAGCAGGTATGAGAACTTAGAACTGGGCTCTAGCACAAATATGGGGACTTTTAATAGCCTCTAACTCCAGTTCCTGAGGACCCGATGCCCTCTTCAAGCCTTTGAAAGTACCACACATGGGCTTGTCGTGAACTGATTCACATACAGGCAAAATACCCATACATATAAAATAAAAATAAATAGATCTTTAAAGCTAAATTGTTAACCTAAGGATCATATAATGTCACTAAATCTAAAACAATTGAAAAAATAAACATTATAACATTTACCCTCACAATCCAGAGTCTCTGATGATATGAAATGGCTATGTATGCATTCATTTTTGGAGATAATAATGATGATGATAATGACAAAGCAATGGCTACCCATGTACGGCTGGTTCTTTATCCGTGGAGTATTCTAAGTGCTATTCCTGTATTAATACTGGCAATGCCCACTTACAGTTTGCCCTGTTGCCATCTATGCCTCTCACTTCTATTGAGAACATTGTGAAGCAAAGAGTTTAGGTGATCTGCTTAAATTCTTCCAGTTAATGAGTGGCAAATCCATTTCTAACCCAGGCCTTGGCTTTTTATCACTAAGTTGCAGCTACTCTAATGCACAGGCCTTTAGACCAGTTGTTGGAAACCCTGAGAATGTCCACAGCCACCTTGCATTCTAATTCATAAACTCCATGGCATGTGAGCTAAGAGAGGAAAGCAGCATGGTTGCAGGTTATTGATCGTCATGACAATCATCTAGAGAGTTGGGCATTGCGTGCCAAGCTGGCTTAGAGGCAAATTTTATTCTTTCTCTTTTTAAATGAGACAGATTCTATAAATAGAGATATGAAAAATGTCTAATATAATAAAAAACTATATTGTCTTTTCCAAGTAACTATTACTGTGCATACAAACAGAAAATGAAACGTGGGTCTTACTCGTTTTACTTCATGTTTTCCTATCCTGCCTTCTCCAGTTCTTTAAGATCCTCATACTAGCTAATCACTGGTCCTTACGTGCCCTCCCCTCTTGCTGGAAGACTTCCTACCCTGCCTGCTTTGTTTGTGTCAAATTAGATTTATCCTCCATTTCTACCTACTCAGAGAGGGCTCTTCAGAATCACAAAATGAAAGGAATCTCTCAGTTTACTTTCTCTCTTAGTAACTAATTGTGTCCATTTTATGTCCAATTTTATTACTGTACGCTTCCCCCCTCATATTATAAATCCCATGCTTAAATACAAACACAGTCAAGATGTCAGTTTCCTCATACATAAGATCAGTTAGGCTCCACCTTTATTATAATGTAGGCAAATATAAAATATTTCAATAAAATGAATTCTCCCAAAGTCTTTGGTCCTTATTTTAAGTACTAGGTTTTTACAATTCTTGTATCTAATGGGCACTTAAATATATTTAAAATGTCAGGACCTTTCAAACAGAGAACATCAACCTACCCTTTATTACTACTTTCTAACTATGCATACAAACACTGACATACTGTCATATGCACAGTGGGCCCAGATGCTGTTACTGCTTCTTATTATCCTGAGTGCTCTCCAAACACAACAGATATATAGCTACTACGGGTAGCTATTTAATTTATCACTTGACATATAGTAAGTGCTTTATCTGTGAAAAGAAGAAAAGGAAAAAAGTTGGAGAGAAGGGGAGAAAAGAATGGAACAGAGGGAGAAGGAATTAACAGAAGGAGAAGGAATTGTACCTTACAGTTTATTTTTTATAATTTTCTCTATTCTTGAAAATTTTCACACATGTATGTAATGGAAGATGATCATATATGCCCCACTGCTTCTCTCCAATTTCCTCCATAACTCTCTAATACATTTCCTCCTCAAATTCTTGTCTTCATCTTCCTTATATGTGCAATATAGTTCACAGAAACTACAATAATAACTGGAAACCTTCCAAGGGGGAGTTATATTTTCTTCAAGGTCCTTTTTTTAGGTAAATTATTTATTCTAGTTCACAATTCCAGAGGGTTTTTAATCCATCATGGCCAGAAAGACAGTAATAGAGTTTACTTCATGATAGCTGTAGATGCTTGTGGCAGAGGCTTCTCACATCAGAAATCAGAATAAGACAGGAATTTGAGAGAAATAATCTACCCACAGGATCTGCCCCACTGGCATAATTTCTCCTTCTGGGTCTCATGTTTTAAGATTCCAGAACCTCTCAACATAGCACCATCTGCTCGAACAAAACATTGAAAACAAGGCTGTGTATCTGTGGAGGACTATATATCTAAACTATAACGTGCTACTGCTGGTCCCCACTTCTTTGTGCACAATTTTTTTTAGGATTTTTTTAAAAATTGTTTTTCTTGAATTATATA